TTGCTGTCATTCTCCTGGGCAAACACCAGCAAAGGAATTTTACAGCTCCACACCTGCAAAGAAACATTTCCTCAGGCTTGTAATTTCCCCATGTATAAGGAAAAGTGACCTTTTCTGTCTTTGTCCAGGGATACTGGTGGAGCAGTTTGTCCCCACTGGTCCCCACCTGCAGCTGTACAGCCCCAAGACGCACAGCTGGACTGACCTCACCCACTGGCACTACTCCACCATCTACCTCTTCTTCCTCCTCTCCGGCATCACAGACGTGGTCTCACACTCCCCACTCAAGCTGCCCCCTGGCTTAGACCGGCTCTCGCTGTCCCTGGCTCTGCTTGTGGAAGGTGAATTGTACCTGGTGCTGGGGGAAGACACAGAATAAGGAATTGCTGCAGTGCTCATGGGTGTGATAGCTCCTGTGCAGTCTGGGGGCCACAAAGGCAGACCTGGAGGGGGTGTGGATGCACGATGACACTGGTTTTGTGACAGTCACCCCCCCTACCTGCTCCTCCTAAATATGGATCCAACCATAGCTGGATGCCACGGGATGCTTGAGGGATCTCTGCTTCTCCTGGTGGCCAGCAGCTCTCACACTCTGAAGTTACAAAAAGGTGTCATTCCCCCACCTTGGCTGGATGCAGAGGGACAGATACAAAGCTCCTTACCATCTTTTGAGCTCAGGGTGCCCATCCCTGTGCTCCTCCTGCAGCCCTGGCTGGGACACAGGGATCCCCCCAGGTAAAGGGGCTCAGAGACTCCCACAGGTACAGGGAGCAGAGCTGAGACAGCGCTGGGGCTGCCTGCTGATAGCAGAGGGAAGGTGGTGACAGCAGCTGGTGGCTCTCTGGTTCTATTGCCCAAGGCAGATCACGGCAAGGCCTGGAGCCTAAGAGTGAGTTTTCAGACGATTTTTAAGAGAAAACCCCAGAGTGTCCTTTGCTAACACAGGGTGGATCTTGGCAGGTTTGCTCTTCTGTTTCCGTGACTACAGCGATGCTGTGCTGGACCAGCACCTCCACTCCCTGCTGGCCATGGCTATCTTTGCTGGAGCCCTCTGTGCCCTCCTGGAGGTGTTCCACCGAGACCATATCATCCTGGAGACATTCAGGACCAGCTCCTTCCTGCTCCAGGGCTCTTGGCTTTGGCAGGTCAGTGTCTATCCAGCATTCTCCTCAGATCTTTGCACCTAGGAAGCTGAGTGGAGTGGAGTTGCCCCTGTAGGCACATCTGTTGGGGTTAAACTTCCAGGCTGTTCAAATATCTTTGTAAATAAGAACAGGAAATGAGGCTCAGTGCCAGAGTTGCCATCATGAAGTGCATGTGTAATGTAGCAGAATGGACAGACCTGGAAATGAATGGAGAATGGAAATTGGAGCCCACAGGGGAAGGAAACCACAATCATGAAATCTTATTAATTTTATTAGGTCCATTTTCTTCCTCTGTTTGCTCCAAGTAACTGGAAACATCTGGAAATCTCTCATGTAATCTCCCATCTTTTGGTCTAGGGGGAAATGCACAGACTGGCAATGTCACTTTTTGGATGCTGCCCTTTTCCAGGATGCTGGGCTTGCACTGCAAGCCCTAAGGATTATCTGCAGAGAATCCATCCCCTCCTGACACCCTTGTGTCAGTGGTTAGGGAAGCCAAGGGCAGTGTCCCAGGTGTTACTTGGGGTTACAGTGCTAGTCCACAGTCAGCTGCAGCAGGGAGGCTAAAATCAAGAGGAAAACAGGAGGGATGTGCTAAAGTCTGACTTCTCTTTCATCTGTGACCAGATTGGGTTTGTGTTGTCCCCTCCGTGGGGAGGACCAGGCTGGGACCAGAGCGACTCCAGCAACCTCTTGTTCCTCACCATGTGCTTCTGCTGGCACTACCTGGGTGCTCTCGCCGTTGTGGCCGCCAACGCTGCTGCATCCCGCTGGTATGAGGGGTCCTGGCACAGGGCACGGGCTGGGCAGCCAAGAGCAGCACCCAGATCCAGCAGTGGGCTGGGAAATCCATGCACCAGTGTGTCATGGGATAAGGAGTGTGGGTGTCCATATGTACACAAGCGTGGCTTGGCGTGAAGGAGAGGGCTCCGTGCTACCACAGAGCAGCCTTCCCACGCAGGGTAGGGTGAGCCAGGGGGTCTCATTACCCACAAGTCCCTGACCATTGTCACTGTCTCTCCTGCAGCTGCAATGAGTCCTGCCAGCTGAAATTTGGGGACATTGACGTGGAGTTGGACTGTGGCTTGTGCCTCCACAGAGGGAAGAAGAGCTCCGGTGGCGCCTTGCTGCCAGAGAGCAGCTTGGATGACAAATGAGGCTGTGGTGGGCATGGAAATCTCTTCCCTGATGGTTTAGAGCTCTTGAGATGAACTTTTTAATTAGTCTTGATAAATTACAGCAGCACTTGACAGTGGAGCATCAGAAGTAGGAGGCAGGACCCTGAGGCAGAGCATGACAGGAGATGCCAAATCCTTCCTCATGCATCCCTTTGGTAGACACGAGTTCTTAATTCTCTGAGCTGCAGCTCAGGCTGCAGACTGCAGGACTAGTTTGCTGTTGGAGTCCAACTGGAGTGGCAAATCAGACTATTTTTTCTAACATTTCTCTTCTGCTTCCTCAGAAGGGAGCCAAGCCAGCATTCAAAGCTCCTGGTGGCTGTCGTTCTCTCTGGGGTTAATGGAGAGGGTTTTGTACTTAGCTGAATGTACAGACTATCTGTGATCACCAATAAAGTGCTTTAACACATCTCCTCCATGGATCTCTTGAACACCCTGCTGCAGGCTAAGGCAATGTTGGCTTCAAAATGGTTTAGGCAGTGGAGGAAATATCTGAAGGGTGGGACAGTGTATGATTTAATGTGGATAAATCTGCCCAGGGAAGGAGGGGTGGCCAGTGGATGGAAGGGATGGAGGGTAGCTGCTCTCCTGCTTGTTTATCATCAGAAGCTGGGTTAGGCACACGAGCCAGGGGTTTGGTGTTCCTGGGAGATGGGATGTTTGCTGGGCAGGGGGCTCAGCTGAGAGACCCTTGAAGAAAAATGATGGTTCCAGCTGGCTGGGGTGGGTGCATGGATGGTCTTGGGAAGTGTCTGAGAGCCCTGCAGTGATTTAAATTTTTCCCAACACCTTTATTCCCTCCTTGGAGCTAGTCACTTCCAAAGGAAACCTTTCAGTTAGAGGGTGTCTGCCTTGCTGTTGGAGTCTCCTTTTGTTTGCAGCAGAACAGTGTGGGGAGATCCTTCCTGAGGGGAGATGGAGAACAAAACTGAATGTAAAAGATGGCATTAGGAGACTTAGCGAAAGAACATCACTAATCATCATCCAAAAGTTCATAATCAGCATCTAAAATGTTTGTGCCATGGCTGAGGGCTGGACTGGGTGAACGGGGGAGCACCAGCAGCATTGATTTTATTATCTTCCAAAACCTCTACTGTATTCCCCTAACAAATGCAAGAGCCAGTTTGGTCTGAACACATCCCTGATGTGCTGCACAGTCTGGGAGGAAAGAAAAATTCCTCCTGTCTCAGACCAGTTGCAATTCCCAGCCCCATGGGAACTCCCTGGAAGAGTGAGTACTGCCTATTTAATTTTTAATTTTGCATTTTATTTTTATTTTTGTATTTTATTTTTGGTTTTTTGTTTTGTTTTGGGGTTTTTGGGCGGTTTTGGTTTTTTTTTTTTTTTGTATTTTATTCTTATATTTTCTCCTTTTGGAGCAGGGCTGGAAGAAGACCAATGTTTGTGTCCAGAAAAAAAGCCTTGAGGAGCAGAGAAAACCAAGTAAGGCAGTACTTTGGGCTCCCACGTTTGGCACCCACACGCAGAGGATGAAGCAGGCTGCCTTCCTAAACAATGGTTTCTCCAGGACCTGGTTGCCTGTAAGTTGGACTGGTGTGGATCTCCAGTACTGTAGTGAGAGCTTGCACTGTGCTCCATGGAGGTGATGTGCTCCCATTGCTAATAATCCTCCTGGGACGAGAAGTGGGGTCAGTGTGTCAAGTTGTTATAGACTGGCTGCCACTAATGGGAAGATCAGTGCAGAGGTTACAACCTGGTGTACTGAGCTTGGATTGAAAAGAAGGGACTAAACAATCTCTTTCCCCTTTGATCCACTGATGTTACATTTTTTTTTCTGCCCAAATGTTATCTTTGCAGTGCTGAATCTCTTACTGAGGGTTTTGGTGCATAAAATGTTGGGGGTTTTTGGTGATGTTTCTTCTTTCTTTGAATAAATATAAGTAAGAGCAAATAGTAATCATCATGCTGTGTGTTTTGACAGGTTCAGTGGGACCACACTCCAAACCCAAGCGGGTTTCTTTGAGCAGAGCAGCCAAAATTACCTGTTACCATGTTAGGTGATAGAGCTACCCCATATTTGATACATGACTAATGTTCCTCATGTCAATAAAGTAGAAAGAAGAGATGAGGTTGTTGAGGCTGTGGCTGTGTTTGTTGTACAGTTCCCAGCTAGCCTGGGTATGGGATTGATATTTCCTGTAACATCTTCTCTCCCTGTGAAGCCTGAAGGGAATGAAACTCACTGAGTAGACAGTCAGCCCATGGCAGGGGGTTGGGATGAGATGATCTTTAAAGTCCCTTTCAACCCAAACCATTCTGGAATTCCATGACCAGACAAGATTCAAGTGATCAGTAAAGACCCCGTTGTCCACCCAAAGCGTTGCTAGTCATGTGCTGTGGACACAGGGAACCCTGAAATAGGTGGGAGGTGGACACATGTTTCATTGCAGTCCCTACCTCTCCAAGGCCGGTTAGGATGTGTGCCTGTGGGAGTTTAATTACAGGGGACCTCATTATTTATCATACACAGACCTGGCAGATGCTGTTCCTGTTATTTTTCAACAGAACATTCAATTCCTTGTATAGCTCCTGGTCTGTCTGCACTGTTAATCCCCAGGGAGATGTAGAGATGTGGATGATTTTCTTTTTCCATGGTCTGTGGGCTGTGATTCCCTGAAAAATACGTTGGTCAGAAAGCAATGCTGTGTCTCTTTGTTGTTTCACACATTGTTAAACTTTAAATGATGCTGCTCAAACCAGGATTTAAGGTAATTCTTACCTGCATTTTACCCTTTTTCTTGCCTATTGGCACACAGAAACACCAAGACTGGTGGTTTTGATGACAAATATTCCCAGCTGCATAGTTAAACTTGGAGAATTGATTGAGGTATCCAGAACACACATGCTGAAGTGTTTGGAAGGAACAGGGACCTTTGCACTTCCAGATTGAATTCACAGGTTTTCTCACAGCAAGGGTTGGGAGAATGTCATGGTAAGTTTTCCCATTTCCACAAATCCTCTGTTGCTGGTAAATGTCAGGAACAGGATTTTGTGCTGGAGGAACTGGCCATAGGAGCCTTTGGAGGATGGCTGGGTGTAATTTGGGTATCCTCTTGCCTCAGCCAGAGGGAACAGAAGCTTCTTGAGACCGTATGGAAAAGTGCTGCTGGACGAGCTGAGGTGCTTTACAAACCCTCAGTACTCAGATCTGTATGCAAAACCTTTTATTGTTATTGCTGACAGATTTGCTGGAGATGCATGGTTTCAGGAGGAGTTGAAATTAGCACTTTAAACGTCACTAAAATCTATTCTTTCAGCTTAATTATTACACTTAGCTTCCAAACTTAATGCAGTTGCAGTTCGGAGGACAATTGGATTTTCTAGGTCACTTATCTCTTCCAGAACTTAAAATTTTCCATTACTTTTTTCCTTTTTTTTTTTAATCTTAATGTGTTTCTTGCCTATTAACTCAAGTGATTTAAGAAACAACAGTCAGCAGTACATGGTTATTTTCCTCTGAGGATGCACAGCCTGAATCTCATCCAAGGTTGTGGTGAGGCTGCATCTCAAATAGTGTTCAGGTTTGGGTCCCTCCCTACAAGGAAGACACCGTGGTGCTGGAGCCTGGAGGAGGGAACAGAACTGGAGAAGCGCTGCCAAGGAGGGGGAAGTGTTCCAGCTCTGGCTGGAGTAGTTTTCTTGGGAGGCTGGAGGTTCTTGAATGTGTCTGGGTGGTGATCGTGAAGCGTTAGGTGGAGAGGAGGCTGCTCCTGCTTCAAGGATGCTCTGGGTTCCAGCAGAGTGTAACAGGGGTGACAGACCTATTGTTAATTGTTAATGTGTTTCCACTGTACTTCATGAAACTTCAGACCAGCACACAGTTTGATGAATGTGTGTGTATAAGGAGATGCTCAAATATAATGAATCTTAAGAGTGGCCTTATTGAAAAATATACAGTTTTTCCCTGGGTGTGACATCTGTGGAGTCTCGTAGTGCTCACATCAGTGACCTCTTTCCTGACATATCTATGAATTCCTGGGAGGTGTTTCTTTTCCCAGCACTGCTTTGAAAATAGATACCAGTGACTGTGTTTTGTGGAGGGAAATAAAATTTAAAAATCCAGGTGTACCAATGTGTTTCACCAAAAAATTTTCCCTGTTTATTAACCTTAATAATATTTCTTTTCCCTGCAGGTGATGGGAAGGTTCATGCATTGTGTGAGTACTGAGGCTGGTGGTAGGATGCCTCATTGTGCCCCATTTCTGCTGGTTCTGTGAGATGCTTGGAGTTCACTAGGAGCATCCTTTTCAGCACAGTGGATTCTGGTGAGATGGTTATTACACATCCTACTGATTTTCAGAAAGCAACATGGAAACACCTTTGAGGCAACTGTTTAAATCTGGTGAACCTTTTCTCCTCAGGACACCTCAGCAAACCTGAGCTCTTCTTTGGGCTCTTCAGCTGCAACAGCAGCCAGGCTCCTCTCTGCCTTCTTGCCTCAGTTTAAAGTTGGATGTAAAGATAAAGAAAGGTTTTTCTAATGCTTAATGTCATTACCCAATAATTTCCTTTGGTTTGATTGTGTGTGCTGGGTAGAGATACCCACATATGGTGATATTGTGATGGGGGCGTGAGTTACCTGGATTAAAAGATTAATTACCTGGATTGGAATCATGAGCTGCCAGCACTACTTGGAAACCTAGCTGAAGCCATCAGTAGTGCAGCAAAACCTGGAAAAGCTGCTCTCCAAAGCTGATGTTGGGATTCTGAAAGAACAGCAGTTGCCTCTTGTTCACCTTCCCGTACTGATTAGTTCAATTGGCCCTTGTTTCTCAGGGTTATGCTGTTGGGATATAAAGTATATCTCTTGCACTGATGTGTGAGTGTAGTAGAGAGGTATTGTTTGAATCTATCAAATAACATAATTTTTATTTGATTTGCAGCATATTTGTGAATCACCTGTTCTGCTGACCTGATGTGTTTCCCTACAATGTGTTACGAGTGCTCCATCAGTTGCTCCATCACCTGCTGAGTGCTGCCACTGCCATGAAAGGGTGGAAAAAATGTCCTTTCTTACTGGGTTTAGCTGGCTCTTTCTTCCCCCTGTGGGCTGCTGGCATCTGATGAACATGGTGCAGCTCTTGCTTCCTCCTTTGTCTTTTCCTCGCTGGGAGACTCTATTGTCACAATGGACAAAACCTAACTAATTCTGCAATTTATCAGAATAAAAATTCTACCTGGCCAAGCCGTGGCACAGCTTCTGTGAGAGCTGGGTCTTAACTATACCTTGGGTCCCAGCAGTGTCAGAGCAATGAGAAATTTTTATTCTTAAACTATATCAGTTTCACATTTATTTATCCTGAAATTCAAAGTATTTGTTTTAGATTCTGTAATGTTCTACACAGGGCCAGGACTTTGAGTTTGTTTGGCTTTAAAGAGAGTTTTAGTTGGGTTTAAAAGAGGAGATTTGGGGTTTAAAAGAGGGGGCTTGGGGTTTAAAAGAGAGAGTTTTTTATGTTTGAGGAGTTTTTGTATTGTGCTGTAGTTCTGCTTTAACCTAATGTATCGAACATTTTTGTTACAGAAGCCTTTGGAAGTTGGGACCAGAAAAGAGGAGTTGGTCCAAAATCCTTGTTTCCTAGGGATCCAATTTCCTAGGGATCCAATAAAGAATGGAAGATGCTCAGCCGCTGGTTTTAATTACTGACTTAAGGAAAACTAAGTTGCTGTGTACATATCTGTGTACACTCTAAGTTTCCTGATGTTCTGTAGCAAATACCAGGTAAAATTTGGATTTAAATGGCAAAATAAGAACTGGAGATGCAGTTCCCAACTTCACTCCTGAAGGCAAAGCTGTAGAGTTTAATTAACCAATTGGTTAATTAAATTATCAGTTCAGTACATGGATTACTTGACTGAGCTTCTGCAGAAACCAGTTTTATATTTTAGACCAGCTTTAACAGCAGAGCTGGAGCTGCAGAGCTCAGGCAGCGCTGGATATGTAAAATGACTGTAAAGCTGTTTTGTGGGCAAAGAAATTCCTGTTCTTCTTTGGGTAGAGAATGTTTGTTCTGTGTTTTGTGTTTAATTGGAAGAGGAGAAGCTTCACAATAAAAGATGATTTAGACCAAGTGCATGGGATCTTTGTTCAAGCAAAACGCAACACCCTTAAAATAATTTTTTAAATTAAAAGTAAAACTAAAGTAATTTTTGCTTTACTTTTAGTTTTTGTTTAAAGCTTTGCTTACTTTTGTTTTCACTTATTGTTATTGTCCTGGTTTGAAAAGGAAGTGAGTTTTTAGGGATGCTGTGGTCAAACCAATAGGTGCTCAGATTCAAATATTGGCACCTGGTGCGGCCAAGGAGGACACGGATGCACCTCTGAGCACACAAGGGGTTAAAAGCAGGGAACTCCCAGGGGAAAGCTCTCTTGGGTCCCTGAAAGAAGTCAGAGCTGCCCTGCCTGGCTCTGGGCTGGGTGCGGGAGGGGAAGCCATGGGGCCGGGTGAGGGGGGCTGGGCCTTGGACAGAGAGGGGAGGTGAAGCCCTGCAGGATGGAAGGGTGGAGGAGCACTGAGAGGCAGCAGGCAGCCCCCGGCCCCCGAGACAGAGAGAGAGAGACCCTGTGCCTCTGCTTGTGCCACCTTGAAATTGGATAGCACGGCCGGCCGAGAAGGAGAAGGGGGATGCGGTGAGAAGGTGCTCAACAGGGCAGCGTGGGAGTTCTGGACAGGCAGAGACTGAGATTTTTAACCCTTCCTTGAATGATGGAAACCTTACAAATGCTGATCCTCCTGGAGATGAATGAGGAGAGAGACAGAGATGAGATAAGAGGAAAGGGCCATGAGAGAAGTTGAGAAGAACCTTAGGTGGGAGGAGATGATGAAATGGCCTTTGGCTGGACTTTTCTTGTACAGCCATGGACAGAACCATTTTTCCTGTGACACAGAGACTGCATTTAAGGGGAGGCAATGGCTCGGAGTCAAGAGAGTGCACTGATGTTATGTGAAGGGGTGAGGAAACAGAGACTATGGGTGAGGAGGGTGGTGGTGCCTTCTGTCTTCAGAGAAGAAGATCTCTGTTCTCGAGACCCCTTGGCCCCAGGGGGTGAATCTGGGGAGGGACAGGTGTCCCGAAAGTGAGAGACTGTGCTTTCTTTGGAATTGGGCAAAGCATCCTTAAAAGGGAACTCTAGAAGCAGCTCTGGTCCATGTGCAGTGGTGAGAGCACTGGACATGGAAAGAAGATGTCACCATGGCAAATGATCTCCGGGCGGTGCCATGTGTGACATGGAAACACAAGAGGTCTCAGCTCTGTTTCCAGGGGAAACCTATGGCCCAAGAGGGACTCCTCTCTTCTTGATGAACTGAGAATTGATTATCTGAAGGGTGGTGATGGACTGAGAGTCAGTGATCTGAGGAGTGGTAACTGGATTGAGAATCTAAGGGTCTGTTTCGTCTGGTGCTGGAAATTGGGAGGAGGAGGAGGAATGTTTTTGGAAGGTTTTCACTCTGAGTTCTGTGTGTTTCTTTTATATATTGTAAGTTAATAAAGTTGGGGTTTTTTCCTTTATTCCTAAGCTGGAGCCTGCTTTGCCCTATTTCTGGTCACATCTCACAGTAGACACCAGGGAGAATATATTTTCATGGGGGCACTGGCATTGCGCCAGCGTCAAATCAAGACAGTTATTTACTTTAATTTTCACTTTTTTATTTTTGAGGGTTTTTTCCAGTTATTTTTATATTCACTTCTACTTTTTATTTTTAAAATGAAAATATATTTAAATATTAAAGAAAAAAATCCAAACACCATCAGGTGCCCCCCAACTTGTTTCACCCCAGCCAAAATCCAAAGCACTGAGATAGATTCTGCCCTGGTGTTTACTACTGTAAAAATGAAAATTGCATCTTCCCCCTCCCCTAGAGTTTATACATTCAAAAAAAAGTTCCCCCCCCAGGAGAAGTAACACACCAACTACCTGGAAGTGAGGTCCTCTAGTTTATTAGACATCCAAAAACACGGAATATCAAAAATTCTTTCAAATTATCCAAAATCTGTGTCCTTAATTGTAGAGATCCTGGGGGGCATGCCCTTGGTTAGGGAGACACAAAAAGCTATTCAGACCCCACTGGCTGCTTGCCCTGTTCCTGTGTCCCTGAGCCATCCCTCCCCATTGTCCCTTGGCTTTGTTCTGCCCCAGTGCCGCTGTCCAGCCCCTGCTCTGGGCAGAGAGACCCTGGGAGCCCCAGGAGAGTGCCTGGGACCCCGAACATCTTACTGGGTGGCTGAATTAAACATCTGTGGATGCCGTGCAAAGGCCCTTTTTGCTTCCTTACCCTGGACTTTAGTAGCACCAATTCAGGCTGCAGCACTTAATCAGAAAATATCACCGTTGATTTCCATGCTGAAGCTCCTTTTTTCAGCAAGATATTCCAAATACACCAGTAAAGTGTTGTGGTAGATGTATATATATAAACTATATACATCTCAGGCTGTATATAGTTTATATTTGTATATATACACATATATGTATAGTCTGTAAAAGTAAAGAACAGTTGAACATTGTCAAATACCCAGTGTCTTGAAAAACTATGAACTGACAGCACAGGAATAAATGCACCACCTAAACCCAGAGTGTAATTCAGAGCACAAACTGGGCTGTTGGAAATTCAAGTGTTCTCTGCTTTTTTAAAAATAAACTTGATCAAATAGGCCTGAAATTATATTACAAGGGCTTTTCTCATCTGTGGCTTCTAGTTCTTAATGCATCACCCTGGAAAACAAAGGATGCTTCAAGTTCAACCCAAAAAGCTGGTTTTGGTGTTCACTCTTCAAAGCAAGGAGAAAGCAATTAACAAAAGGCAATACAGAAAGGAACTAAACACAAAATCTGCACAAAAAGGATTATTAATGAAGTAACTGGAATAGCTGTAGGCTGGAGGTGTGACCAAGCCTTGGGATAGTCCCAGTCTAGTTCTTGATTCTCAGTAGCTGGAGTGAGCTCCAGTAGTTTACTTGTGTCACCAGCAAGGGGTAAATCCAAAATTCAGCTCTTAAAAAACCTCAAACCACTGGGAATTTGTGACTGTGGTCACAGGGGTTTTCAGGTGAAAAGAGAGACGAGAATGTTGACTCCATGATCAGAAGACTTGATTTATTATTTTATGATATATATATATATTACATTATAACTATACTAAAAAGAAATAGAAAGGAAAAGGTTCCTTACAAGGCTAAGCTAAGAATAGAAAAGAAAAGAATGATAACAAAGGCAGCTCTCTCGGACTCTGTCTGAGATAGCTCCATCCTGATTGGCCATTAATTATAAACATCTAAGAGGGGCTAATCACAGGTGGACCTGTTGCATTCCACAGCAGCAGATAATAATTGTTTACATTTGTTGCTGAAACTTCTCAGCTTCAGCAGGAAAAATCCTAAAGAAAAGATTTTCACACAAAGATGTCTGCGACAGGAATTCATCCCAGTAGAGAATGGCTGGATCATTACTTTACCTGCAGTTTATTTCTTTTCCAGTATCCAAATACTCATGTGGCCCTAAGGAACGTTTCCTTCCTCGTGCCTGCCGAAAATGCATGTCCATAATTGCATCTTCACAGGATAACACAAAATCTAAAACAGATGATCCTGTTGCATCCAAAAAAGTGATACCAAAAGGTGCACAGCAAGGGCTAAGCCCCAAATAAAGGGCTGCACACAAATAAGTTTGCCTAGATTAGGAATAAAGGATGGTATTTCCCTGTGACCTGCTCTCAATGTAAAGATCCCTCTGTATCTCCCTCCGATAATCACAGTTTTTCCTGCCCCAAAACCCATGGATACAGGCAGGAGAGCTGCTGCTGAAAAAGGCAGTGTTATATTTGATCACCAAGAGATCTGCTCTGACCCAAGCTGGGAATTCAGTGAAATACCCTCCAGAAGTTCCTTCCAGCCTTCACTTCTGCATGAGCCTGCTCCAGCTGCAGGATTATTCCCTGCTGGAGCACCACACTGAGAAAACAATTACTGCTCTCTCTGCATTTGGTGAGGCAGTGCAGAACCAGCCCCACTCTTTTCCCTGCTGCAGGAAGCAGAGGCCCTGGTCAGCCCACAGGAGAACAGCCCATCCCCTCCCTTTCACACACACACCCTGCAAATCCAGGCAGCAGCACCAAAAGCCCAATCTGTAGGACCTCTATAAGGTTGCTCTAAGGACAGGTCCTCTGCCAGATGTTTGCAAACACACCCTGGGACCACCAAGCCCAGCTCCAGAATGGCAGCCCTGTGCCCAGTCCCCATTCTAGCAGCCACCCAGGGAGCAGCTGAGGCAGCCCCTCTGCTCAGAAGCCTTTACGCCACTTTCTCCCTGCAGGTGTTTTCTCTGAAGTGCCTGTGCTTTCAGCTAAAAAAATAAATCCACCCCGGCACCATCCAAGAGACCAGTTTCCCTCCTTCTTGAGCTTGCCATAGACAGAGCCCTTCCTCTCAGAGACCTTGCAGGAGGATACACCAGACAGCTGCTATGATGGCATCCGGAAGGGATATTAAATCCCAATCAACCATCTGCATCTCCCTTACCCCTCACTGACGCTTTCTAGAGCACCAGAACAGAAGCACCCTCAGCCTCTTCAACATCAGAGCAATATGTTTTACTGGGAGAGATTCTTCACAGCCACACACACATGGGATGAGCAGAAAGTTCAAAGCCAAGAGTGAACACATTCTCAGGGATTTCACTTCCTGCTGCACAGTCAGGCAGAGAAAAGCGCCTGGTGTGCAGGCAGGGACACAGAGAAGGGAATTGATGTTCTCCCTGCCAGGGAATGTTCCCAGGGAGCAGGTGAGGAGGAGGAAGGAGATCCCTGCTCTCCCATGGAACAGGTGAGACACTCCTGAGAAGTTCCTGCCTCCAGAGTGGCCTCCAGCCCAGGTCCAGAGGACAGATGTTGCTGTGGAGACTTCAAGGATGTTGAGGATGTCAGGACAATCATTCGCAGGTAAACTGACTCCCCTTGCTCTTTCTGCTCTCACATTCAGGGCTTAGACGGGGAAATCTAAGGTATGGAAACAGAACTTTGGCTAAGGCTCCTCCTACCTTTCCACAGCACAGCCAGGCTGTGGGACCCAGAGCTCCACGAAGCTTTAACAAGGGAGAATGAGGGAGC